AAAGTAACAGGCAGCAGGGAGCTGGGGTCAGAAGGACAAGGTACTTCCTCAGGGAGGGCAGGACACATGTTCCATGGCACTGAAGGAGCTGGTTCTGTTCCCAGGCAATGGCATCGCCGCCCTGCGCTCCGTCCCCACCGCCATTTACTCCTTCTTGCGCTGCATGGAGGCTGACCCTGAGATCCCTGACCACTACAGCAACCTGCAGAGGACCATCATCTACTGTATCTCTCTGGGTGGAGACACAGACACCATTGCTACCATGGCAGGAGCCATTGCAGGGGCTTATTACGGGGAGGAGCAGATTCCCCCAAGCTGGGAGCAGAGCTGTGAAGCTTTCCAAGAGACACAGAAGCTGGCAAACAGCTTGTACGAGCTCTACAGCCAGCGGCCCTGAGCCCCAGGGCAGAGCTTTCCCAAGGCCAGAAGGGTGGTCACCTCTGCCTTCCCCTCAGAAGAAGATGGCTTCTGCCATCTGCAGAAGCTTCCACCTGGGAGACACCTCTGCTGGGAGCTGGAAGCAGGAGCTGTTTGTGAAGAGGGACCTACCCCTGAGTTGGGGGTCAGCTGGGCAGTGGCTGCATGTGGCCCCTGGAACAGGGGGTGTCTCCTCAGAGGTGTAGAGGAGTGTCTAAATCCTGCTGCTTGCTCTGCCCTCCCTTGTGCCATCTGGTCCTGGCAGTTACTCGGGATGTGTCTGCATCCTCTGACTTCCGTGCTGTTTTCCTCTGCTCCTGTGCCGTGTTGTTTCAATTGTCAGTGGCCTGTCCTGCAGTGGTGTTGAGAGGCTCCACATCCCTCTCAAACACCAGGTCACACTGTTGACCAGCTGAACGATGTAGATGGGATTCATCAGCCTGGAGGATGTCCTGTGTGGTGGCACAGGTTTCTGGTGGGGGCAAGGTGGCTGGAGGGCAGCCTGGCCTCTGAGGGACAATTGGATATTGGCTTCCTTAAAGGCAGATTGAAAAGTGCCAAAGACTGGAGGAGGGATTTCTTTGCAGTGCTAGTGGCATTGTGAGAAACGCCTTTGGTGCATGCAGACACAATCCCAGTTGGTTCATTGTTGCTGCTGGAAGTGGGTGTAGTTCCTTACTGCTCCTTTGGTGTCCTTTGCTCTGTCCTCTGCCTGGCACTGTCCTGATCTGCAGTGTGTTGTCCCCTTACATAGCTGGCTTTCACATTGCTGCAGCCACTCTAGCTACTCCCTTGTTCCTAATCCATGTATCCTGCATTTTTAGTGCTGTCCTGTGTATGTCCAGAGCACCGAGATTGCTGTTTAAATCTGTGGGTGGAGATAATTGTGACACTTGGTGTGACACAGGGATTGGATTTCTTTTCTCCTGCATTCAGAAACAAAAGTTACTTCAGCACAGGAATTACTTCGCACAGTTCTAAAACTCCATAATTGATAAGAATCATCTGAGAATAAAGGGAAAAATAAGTTAATGGGGAGAATTCATCAAAGCTTAAAAGAATTTGTGTATTTAAAGCTGGTGCTGGTGGCCAAGAACATCCTAGCAAAGCTGTGTTTTTCACATTTAAAACTTGCCTAGCAGAGCTGGTCAGAAAGGGTGTAACAGCTTGGGTATGGCATGACTGAAAAGCTTTCTAATAACTGAAAACAAAAAGAAAGAAAGAGGCAAGCAGTCATCATATGGAAATGCTTATAAATGTCAATGTGACAATTCTCTGTGATTTCTCCAGTATTTCTGGTGGCACTGGGAAGTGGCCTTGCTGCTCAGACAAGCTCCCTGCCCGTTGGTGTCATGGTGGCTGTGTCCAGCTGTGTGCACATGTGGAAAATGTGGCTGCCAGGGGTTGTTCCAGCTTTTCCTGTAGTCTGCTTCCTCCAAGTGCCAGTCTGCTGTGTGATGCTGTAATGGGTTTTCCTTGTGTAAATGAATTCTTGTCCTGAGAACATGTGGATTTTTGGCCTACTGTATATTTATGTCTTGTGCTGCAGACATGAGATGTAAAATGTCAGGTTTTTCATGTTATTCTGCCAGAGTGTGAATGTACTCACGGAATTATTTAAAAGAAGATCTCTTTCTTTTAAAGCAGCTTTGTAACTTTCAGTGCTTGGAACTCAGGAAGAGCAGAAGAGCTCTTGTTTAAAAAAAAAACAGCTAATTTTAGGCCAGAATTTAAATGTGAACTAAAACATTTATCTCTGACTTTTCAGGAAGACATAAAATCACTTAGCTGTGTTTGCTAATTAGCTACTGCTCCTGTTGTATCATTCAAGTCAGGGAGTTTTTCTTCCATACTAGATGAGCAGAGGAGTCCTATGAGAACCTCTGGATTCTTCTGCCTCACCCCATGCTCCCTTGTAACTCTCAACCTGAAACTACGTGGTTCTGGGTGCTGGAAATCTTTCTGTAGAAAGCAGAATGGAAGTTGGTGGGTGCTGGTTGGAGACACCTGCTGTGTAGAGACTCGTGCTGCCCTCGGGATGAGTTAGCCCTGGAAATGTGCGTCACAAACTGCCTGGTGAGCGCTGCGGGGCAGCCAGAGCCTGGAGCTGCCCAGGAGGGGGGCTCTGCTCGGCTGCAGGGTGGGTTGGGCACATGGGAGATTCCCTGAGGAGCTCTCCCTTCTCTGCTGTCTGTTGGTAGCGGGGAGCAGCCCATGGAGGGAGGTGTGAGCTGCTGGAGCCCCGTGCTGGGCTGTGCTGGGAGCAGCCCTCGCTCCCAGCCGGACAATCGCTTGTTCTCCACAGTCAGCTTTGGAAGGAGGCTGCCCTGCAAGTGTGCCACCTGTGACAAGTAACAACTCCTCTTCCAGGTGAGAGATCAGATGGGAAAACACATTTTCTTCTATTTAACATTTTTACTTTAGCCTCTGGAAGTTATTTGGTTCTAGGGGGTTGACCACTTCCTCTGTGTGCTGCT